GCGTTTTCTCCACCATCCTCTTCACAACTCTCAAAACTCTCAGTCCGATGATCCCTGCAGTAGCAACTATAATCACCGATGAGAGCTTCGCTTGAGGAGCATAGGTCTGGAGCCACATTCGCATAGAGTGGCCGAAATCTCTGAGGTATGCCATTTGCGAGGACTCCTGAAAATCCTATCAACCGCTTGATGATACTTGGGGACTTCAGACGTTCGAGGGTTGAACCGTCTCTCGACTAAACCGTATTAGACCAAAGGGAAGGAGGGAGGGAGGTGAAGCCCGCTCTCCACTTCAAACGATAGTAATTCCGACTAGTGCGCCCTCGAGCTCGATCATTGTCTGTGGTATCTTACTACTATCCTGCTGGCCCAAAGAAGGTAAGACTCTTCCGGAGTGCTGCAAGGCCATTTGAGTCTCAGTCGACAAAGATCGTACCGCGTTTGAACACTGGGAGCTCCACAGCCATCTGCGGTTTCGGTTCACTGCCCCCAGCCGATCGAGAAGGCCCTTTCATTTCAGCAATTCCCTTCTTGTACAAGTATGACATCGAGCGCACTGATGGCACGCATAGGTTGAACGCACAATGCTCTGTACACGTGTGACACGTCACGTGTCGCACGTGACGTGTCCCCTTTGCGAGATAATCAACAGATCGCTGTGTTATGATGTTGACAGTAGCTCTATCATAGTTAGTATCACTAACATTTCCTAGTGGTTAACTCCGTGGATAACGACACTCTTAAGTTAGCACGGAGAGAACTCGACCATGAGTCATCCTAGCTGTAGTCTATGTGCTATATGAAGGTGACAGCTTCGCAGTCACGCACATGTGTATGCGTGCACCTCATTATCTATTCGATGGTTCCCCTTGCCTCTCTTTTTCCCTCTCCTCTTCTTATGTCGGGTTCAGAGACACATCACGTCGCCTCCCCTACACTAGCTACAGCTACAGTTCGAGAAGAGCGTGGAAATGTCGCTACCCCTACTACATCAGAGACCTCAAGTTCTACAGGTGACATTGGTCGCCTCTCACGGAGATCTTCTCGTCGATGGCCAACCAACTCTTTGGATATCTAAATACTCTAAGGCCTCAAGCCAATCAGACTACTTCACCACTTAAGGTTGCTACTCAACAGCAACAGACTGCTATTAATCTACCAATACCTGGTTCGTCAACTGTCTGGGTCGAGAGTCTCGACTCGAGACAGTGTCGAACTGAGACACTGACTCAGTTCGACACTGTCTCGATGTATGACGAGGTGGGACCCTAGGCTTGCACTAGAGGTCTGTGATGTGACGTAACCAGGGCTCGAAAAAATCCTTGTTAGAATTTCCGACACTTGCGCGCATCGGATTTGCGTCACACATCAGGGGCACGCATACCGTGTCACGCAGAGCCCACTGGATACCTAGCTCAGCCGCTGAGTCTCAGCGCAAACTAGTCTTAGACGTGACGACGCTCGTCGCCGTCTACAGTACAAAGGTTTTCTTGTTATGACGCCGAGAAGCTCTCGATGGCAGCTTCCTCAACGAGGACTATTTGGTCGGAATGTTCCATCGTAAATGTCCCAACGAGGCAACGAAAATGAGACCGCCATAGCTAGAGATTGTTTTACTACGAGATCTTCTGGGAAGGGAAGAAAATGACACACCTACTGAGTCAGTAGGTGTGTCATTTTCCAAACCTAATGAGTCAGTAGTACTGACTCACTAATGCATGAATTCCTACTGAAACTTCAATGATTG